GGGCCGAGCCCGGCCGGGAGGACCAGAGGTGCTGTGGGCCCTGGGGCAGCCGGGCTGCGCGGCCGTCGCTTCGCACGCGCGGCCCGACACCGCGCGGGGCACGGAGCAGGTGCTCGGCCGCTGAGCTCCGGGGTTGGCTGGGGCTCCAGGAAGAAGGCGGGCTCGCAGGCTGCGGCCGGCTTCCCTCCAACCGAGTGATTCGCCGAGACCCAATCAGAACGCGGCTCCTGGCTTCCTGCCCCGCGTCACCCAATGACCGTGCAGGGGAGGGAGAAGGGCGTGAAGCCCAGCGGTGCCATTACCCTTGCGGGCGAAGGGCTTCTAACCCGGGTGCAGCGGAGGGTTGCGTGAGCATCTCCGGTGCTTCCACTGTGGCGACTGGCATCCTCCAGTGCTCTAACCCAAGTCCTTGCAGGACCCGTACGATAACTCCGGAGGGGTCTGCACTGGCCCCACGAGACGCAGGTCCCGGGGCCCTTCGGGCCTCCTGTGAGGCACTCTGAGCCTGAGCACCGGCCGGGTTCCGCCCCGCGGCGTCTAGAACCCGCGGACTGGGCGGGGGGCTCTGGACCCATGGCGCCGCGTCGGACTCCGCGCCTCGCCCGCGGGCAGGGAAACACCGAGTCTGGGCGAGGGAGGCCGGGCGCCGTGAGTTTCGCGGACGTAGCCGTGTACTTCTCCCCGGAGGAGTGGGGCTGTCTGCGGCCAGCGCAGAGGGCCCTGTACCGGGACGTGATGCGGGAGACCTACGGCCACCTGGGCGCGCTCGGTGAGGCCCGGCCTGCCCTTTCTGTGACACGGAGTTTTTTAGACTTCGGGCCTGGACGCGCTCTAGTGTCTTGTTGTTGGGGAGGGTCTTCTCCGCTTGGGTTCAGAAGGCTGTATACCTACCCCTGTGGAGGGAGCGCCTTATCGAGGCTCCATCCTCTCACCCTGTCCGCTGTTGGCCTCTTCTCGCCTAGGATTCGCAGGCTCCAAACCGGCCCTCATCTCCTGGCTGGAGAGAAAGAAGGAGGTGTGGAGCCCCGAGGCCGAGGATCCTGAGGACGGGGCGAGGCACCCAGGATCTGGGCTAGGTGAGGAAAGTGGGGCTGAGCTGGACGGCCCAGAGCAAGCCCAGGGCAGGGGCTTGCTTCCCACAGCTTCCAACCCACACACGGGCTCTCTTACAGACCCCAGTTGGTAAGAGAGACTCCTCCGAGCCTTCTCTTCCAAAGTTCCTTTACCAGACCTGGTGCCTTACTTGGGTCAAGGACACCTAGGTTGGGGGATGAGAAGTTGGGGGTAGAATTTACTGAGCCTTCCTCTCTGTGTCCCAGAGTATCTGCGTGCCTCCGAAAGGGGCCAGAAGTTCATTTAGGGACACTGGTCATTTACACACCAACCTGCAGTCCATTCCAATGTCTGGAGAAATCTCAGTCCCTGTTGAAATGCCCGCTTCTGGGGGCTTTAACACAGCAAGCGATTGCTTATTTCCAACAGCAGTACGATCTCTCGCCTTCTGACAAACTGCAATTTTACAAGCCCTACATGAAGGGGGAAAAAAGGGCCCGTGGGCCATGGAATGGGGAGCTGCTGCCTGAGATGAGTCCTGGGGGCTCTGAAACAGGGTCTAGAACAGAAAAACTGTTTAGAGAAACTAGAACAGAGAAATGCCCCACTGTGAGGGAAAACACAGGCATGATCGCACAAGCACTCAACAATTCCGTTTCAATTCTCTTGTCTCTCTAGAAAGCAAGCAAAAGAACGAACCCAGCAGCAAAATCAGGCCCAAGGAGCCTGAGGATGCCCTTGTGAAGAACGTGCCATCAGTGAGGGCCAGGCTGGTTCCTAGTTTCAGGGACTGCAGCCGACCGTTGCCTCAGCTGTCCACAGACACGGGACAGCTGTGCTCCGAGACTCTCAAGAGGTCCTACGCCTGCCTGGAATGCGGCCGTTCTTTTAGCTACCCCTCCCTCTTAGCCAGCCACCAACAGGTCCACTCGGGGGAGCGACCCTTTCCCTGTGACCGTTGCAGACGTTGCTTCCGCCAAAGAGGCAACCTGGCTGTCCACATGCGTGTACATACAGGGGAGAAGCCCTTCCCCTGCCCAGACTGTGGGAGGCTCTTTGCCTACCCCTCGATGCTGGTCAGGCATCGGCGAATCCACTCCGGAGACCGTCCATATGTCTGTGGGCCTTGTGGGGTCCAGTTCTCCCAGAGGGCTCACCTCGTCCAGCACCAGCTGCTTCATACAGGGGACAAGCCTTATTCGTGTCCAGATTGCGGCCGCTGCTTCCGCCAGACGGGGGCCCTGGCTATCCATAGACACAGACATGGTGGGGAGAAGCCGTACGTGTGCACCGAGTGTGGACGCCACTTTACACACCCTTCCCTCTTGGCTATCCACCAGCACACCCATACTAGGAAGAAGCCCCATATCTGTTCTGACTGTGGTCGGGGCTTCGCCTACCCCTCCCTCTTGACCAATCACCAGCGAGTCCACTCTGGTGAGCGTCCCTACCCTTGTGCCCACTGCAGTGCCCGCTTTGCCCAGCAAAATAACCTGCTCCAGCATCAGCTCATTCACACCGGGGAAAAGCCCCATGTGTGCGCTGATTGTGGCCGCTCCTTCCGGCAAGGCGGCTCTCTGGCTATCCACAGACGCACACATACAGGGGAGAAGCCCTACTCCTGCCCTGAGTGTGGGCACCGATTTACCTCTTCCTGTGTCCTCAACAGCCACAGGCGCATCCATTCTGTCGAGAGGCCCTTCCCTTGTTTCCAGTGTGGGAAAACCTTTAAACGAAAGAGTGCCCTGGAAGCCCACCAATGGATCCATCGTCCAGGCGGGGCAAGTCAGAGGGGTGACAGACCTCTTTTACCACCCCCAACCCAGGCCTCCATCCCTGAGGGTCAGGAACCATCAGTACACTTCCGCCATTTTCCCGATGTGTTCAAGTAGTGCAAGTGTCTGAGTAAAAGCAGTGTAAAGGAACAAAAGTTTTAAGGTTCTCTCTCACCAAGTGTTGGGAAGGAGGTGCACAGAGGGCAAGGGGTAGGAGAGGGGAGAAAAAGGGAATCAGTCAACATGGAGATGGCAGGGGCTGAGCCACGTCTGGAATCTAGGAGAGACCTGGGAGCCGAGAGGTAGGACATCCGGAGTGAAGAACCTTCCAGAAGAAGCGTGAGACTCCTCCAGTCCGCCCCCAGCCCCGACCTCTGACCTTCAGCTCCAGGTTTCCCCTCACTCCAGATCTCAGGAGAACAGATCTCAGCTGGGGCCAGGAGCCATAATGTAAAAGGAGAATCATAGGCTTTGAACCAGTTTGTCCCCTGCCCAATCTTGGCTCATCCCCCGCATCATCAGCATCTCTCTGACTATAAAATGAATACATTAATACTACCCACAGGTGGTTGTGAGGATTAAATAATATATATTCAGTTGAAACAGTCTAGTACAATACTTCTAACTTGTGTATATCCTTCTGAGCTTTGCACATTACAGTAGAGCTGTTTGAATATTGAGGACAGCCTTACCTAATGACCCCTGCTGAAAACAACCACTTTTAATGTAAATTTTCTAGCTCTTTTACATGTCTTAGCAAGTTGGAAACCATTATTGCCTTATTTTTTTTTTCCTTAAGCGATTCACAATGCTTATCCTGTGCTCAACTTAGAGATGAGAGACTGTCTCATAATTCCCTGGACTGTGTCACTGTGGCTTAGGCACCCAGACCCTTGCTTATATATGTAATATATAATATATATTAGGTGTCTCTCTCACCAGGTTGTAAGCACCACCGAGAGAGCAGGCACCTTAATGCCACCTCTTTCCAGACCCCAGCGTTGTGTTAGAAGATGCCTCGTTTAATCGTCAACAGACACGGAGACCTGCAGGTGCTCTGGGACTAAACCTTGGGTCCGACCCAGCG